TACAGTGCTTTGTCACAATTGTAGGGTTATTGGGTTGAAAAGTTGTTGAAGAAAAAGTTGTTCATTAATATGGTTGAAAGGGGTGACATGGAGAACCATGCTACAAGTAGAATTGTTGCATCGACAGTAGGTGATCTGACTTGACTTAAAATCAAAGGTTGATTGTGGTCCGCTAGAGCTAAAACAAATTGTGAGTTGTGAACGCTTTGTGCATGCGTTGGTGATTTTGCTCTGCGGATGATTGAAATAAACTTTTGAAACGTGTTCAGGCCAGAAGTTGGGATTTGTAAATCTGGGGAACTGTGTTCAAATAGTTTGTTGAAATTATGAAAAAAAAATTGTCAAGCAGTACTGTCGTTTTTCTACGTTGATGTGAGCAATGACTGTGTGTGTGTGAGAAGATAGTAGTGGAAAGTACACTGAAGTGGTTAGAGAAATAGATTGTTGTAAACGATTGCTGTGTGCCCGATAGTTGATGATAAACATGGTCATATTATATAAAGGTATAAAAACAAATATAAAATGAAAAAATATAGAAATATCATTGTGGTTGAATAAAGTTTAAGTGGACAAAATCAAACAATCAATATACAAAAGTAATTATAAAACTACTTTAGAGGCGTAATATTCTTTTTAAAATAAAACAATTTCTACTGTCCTTACTGCGATGGAAAAATTAAATTTAATAATATATTTATAATTATATTTAATTCTGCTGTCCTAAAAGCTTATGTCCATAGTTCTTCTAAAATACCCATTCCAAGAGTCTTACAACAGTCAACTATAAAAGGAAGTTCCAAAAATGCAATATAACAGCGGTATGGTAGATTAAACTGGCGAAACCGCTGGGAGGGTTCACCACTGATGAGCCAGGCCCTCCCTTTAATTTTTCCATCGCAGTAAGGACAGTAGAAATTGTTTTATTTTAAAAAGAATATTACGCCTCTAAAATAGTTTTATAATTTGATAACAGATGGCGCGCTAGTGCATCGTAATATAAAAGTAATAATAATGAAGAATTAAAGTGATTTTTGACAACAAATAAATCTTTTGTAATACTAAAATAATATTATGAAAAATAAAAGTAAAATTGATTTTTTAAAAAATAATGTTGGATTAGAAACTTGTGGTTATATAATTGAAAGGTAAAAATAAAAAATAAAATATTTTATACAAAAACAGAATATAATTAAAGACCATTACAATGATTAGATGAAGGTTTGGTAGAGGAATGGGACAAAAATATTTCTTCTAAAAGAAGTTACAAATCTGGTGTGTAGGTTTTATAAATCGAAAATTGAGAAGCGCAATTTATTGCTTGGATTGGTTACTAAAATGTTGTGTATTGTGATCTCAATTTAACATGTAAAATGTTTGATATGTAGGAAAAATTAGATATTTACACAGGATTAAAATATCAAAATGTTAAATTTAAGGTAGGTCTTGTTCAAATTCAAATATCTAAATGTTTTAAAAAGGTAGGTTAAGATATCGACTGCTAATGTAGTAAAAGGTGTGGAATTAAAAGGAATGCGGGACACGCTCCAAATTTTCTGGAGGCGAGTAAGGGGGAAGGGTGGCAATGGATTTATTGATGCAGGAATGGTGTCTCGAGATATTTAGTCTATCATTTCGGTATTTTTATGACTCTCTGTCTGGGAATTTGTGAAATTCTCGAGGAAATATAAATGGCTGATGTGAAACACATGTTACACATGGCGGTCATTCCAATAGCGGATATTTAGATGACAGTTTTGTTAGCGGGGAGAGAGGTGATGGATTTAGTGACGCGGGAATGGTGCCTCGAAGATATCTGGAGTCAAATGTTTGAATTCACTGAGATATACATCTTGGGACATTCGCTGTGGGTTTTGAATAAATCGGTTTTGTGGAGGTGTAATGTACAGAACATTCTCTGTGTAATATTTTAATTTATTAACATGTATGGTGTCACTGTCTCTATTGAGAGGTTGATTGGAGCGATCTATTCGAACAACATTGGGTGAGATTATTTCAATTATTGTATATGGTCCATTAAAATATGGTGCTGATTTACCTGTGTCGGGATGTCTATAATTTTTGACCAAAACAAGATCATTCACTACGAAATGTGGTGTTCTGTGCTGCTTATCAAATGTTTCTTTATCTTGTTTATGCTTATTTTGGGTACGAGAGCGTGCTATCTCTCGAGCTCTGGTTATTTCGGGGTATGGGTTAAGATGAATTCTTAGATCTGGGGGGACAACATTGAACATTAAGTAGGTGGGTGGAAAACTTGTGACAGAATGGGGTGTGTTATTATACGTTTGAGTGATGCGCTTAACTAGTTGAGTCCAGGAAGCTTTTGGATTTTCTAGATAAGCTAGTCTGAGCTTGCCTGTAATGGTGACATTTAAGCGTTCTATTAAACCGTTTGCTTGTGGGTTATTGCTTGTGGTGAGTAGGGGTTGTATACCATGTGTTATTAGAAATTTACGGAATTTTTCTGAGGTAAAAGCGGGCGCTCTGTTAGATAACAGACGTTTTGGAAATCCTTGTTGTAGTACAGTTTTGAGGGTTTGAATGTACGTTAGGGTACTGGTTTACTGGTTAAACTCCCTTTGAGAGTGGTGAAAGCTTGTTGGCAGTTTTATTGTCTATTTGAAAGATGTAGTTTTCTCGGTGTTCGTAAGTGTTGTGTTTCGACGTTGTTGCGGACTTAGTAAAAATGTTATTCAATGATGTCAGGTTTAGATGTGAGTAAAAGTGCGACTTTCGACGTGGACACGCTTTGGGGTGAGAAGTGTCAGAGGCATGAAGGCGTCTTTGTGGCCTGTTAAGTGAGAAAAATTGTTGTGATGCGCTGTGTGTCACGAGTGAGTGAATTGAATGGGAAGGTGTCACGTGAAGTCTTTGCTTTTGGTACAGCATCTAACCTGTTTCAGCATGAATAACAAATTTACTAGTCATGGGTGGTGGTTGTACAAAACACATCGAGATATTTTGGCTGTTAGTGGATGTGGCACGTTTAGTGGTGACGATATGGAACTTGTGTGGCTCGAGATTGATTTGTTGCTAAATCGCGCGCTAATAGATGGTGGCAAATTGGAGAAAGTGATGGGGGAGTGTGTTGAAGTTTGTTGAGAGGCATGTGTGAATAATTAATAATTATGCATGTAAAAGGAAAAGACGAGGGAGTGAAACTATGTTGGATTTTTAACTTGTTTTGGGGAAGGGCAGTTACTTTTCTAGTTGTGATTTTGAAGATATTGTATCTTTCGATTTTTGCAATTTAAAAAATATAAGCGTTTCACCTATGTTTATTAAAATTTGAATATATCGTTGATTATGGTAGTGCGAAAATTATCCTTGTAAAAGGGCAATGGCGTGATAGTGACTTATAAATTGAATGGGGCGTTTACATAAAATAGTGAACATAAAAATGATTTTTGCAAAGTTTTGAGTGTTGAATTAAGAAATTGGTGTTTTGGTATAAAAATAGGATACATATTAAGAAAAATACACAAATAAGTTTAGAATTATAATTCGAGTAATTTAAAAAATAATGATCTTTTTTTAAATGTAAAATTGAAAGTAATGAATTAAAATTTATAAGTTGCTTAAAATAAAGTAAAATTTGATAAATGAGGGTGTACAAGATTTAAAATTTGAATTGAAATGATATAAAAATGGTAAAATTTGATTTTAAAATGATTACAGTGAAAATAAACATTAAATTTATGGAGAATCAAGTTGTGAGTTTGAGGAGAAAGTTACGTAGGTTTTAAAAACTTACAGTTTTAAGGATTGTTCATTCAGGAGACTTGGTCTTTAGTTGTCGTCCTGATGACGCGGAAGACGTTCCATGTAGAGCTTGTAGCTTCTGTTTGGTGACGGCGGCATGTTGCCTGGAAGGTGGTTGCGTTGTAAGGCCGAAGGTGGGAAACTTCTCACCGGTTTATTTTGCGGAATTTTCGGCTGTGTCGTTGGGGGGAGATTGCTTGGTCATTTCGTTGGACTGGCGGGCTTGTTCCTCCATCTTTGCTCTTCCTCGCTTCTATCTGGACAGACTTCCTACCTTCTTCGTTGTGGTCTCCTTCGTTGTGGTCATCCTGTCGACTCTTCTGTGATAAGGTCCTGTCGACTTATCTGTGATAAGGTATCCAGTCGACTTATCTGTGATGAGGGATCCTGTCGACTCTCGCTATAGCTGTGGTAACCGAGGGTCAAACCTGCAGTAACCGAGAGGGACAGTCAGGGCGTGGAGAGTTTTCCAGTACCTCTCTGCACCTTGGAGGACCTTTAACAGTTCTCACAGAGTACAGGCAGTCGTGGTCGAGGCAGAGTGGAAAGCTTGGGAATGTCCACACACAAAAACGAAGAGACACAGTTGTAGTAGGAAAGTTCCGTGAACAAATAAGAGTCGAGGTAAGAGCAAGATGGAGAAAGAAGGTTTCTTACTGTTTTACATGGTCGATGAGGTGGACCTGGCTACAACCGACAAGGGCTCGCGCCGATGGTGAAGTGACTGTGAGTTCGGCTCAAACCGAGGTTTTTATATACCTTTGCCGAGGGGGGGGAGACATGTGAGAATTTGGACTTTGAACGTCTGCGGCATTCTGCACCCTTTGACCTTGATGGCAACGGGCTGCCAAATTCCTTTTTAAGGTTGTTGGATTTCTCTCTCGATTTTAGACGTTTTTGAACTTCTCAATCTTGCTTTAACTCAGCTCTTAATCTATTGCACAGTTTTATTTATTTATCCTCACTTTGTACAAAGTACATTACATATGGTGATGCAATGACACATGTCAATCATGCGTATAATTATTTATAGATGTGTTTCTATATACAACATGACAATCTTGTTATAAGTATTATACAATATAGGGTTGTTGGTTTAAATTACCATATATACATACTTGTATACTTGTGTACATAGATCATAAATCTGTACATAGACAGGAAAAGCACATATATTTTAATAATATAAATGAGTTTTAAAAATCGTAAAAAAAAAAAGCATCGGCCGGGAATCGAACCCGGGGCGCCCGCGTGGCAGGCGAGCATTCTACCACCAAGCAAACGGTGACAGAATTGTTGATGACTCTGCTACTTGTATATTTTAATGTATGATAATGATAAGAAGAACCTATTATCAAAGACTTCTTTTGATATTCAGCATTACTGTAAAGAAATAGGTCAATTTAGGGAATTAAAACAAAGTGACCATTATTAAGTGGCTGCCTTTTCCTGTTTGTATAGCTGTTTTTTAATTATACGGTCTAAAAATTTAGAAAAGTTAAAAAAAAAAGGCCAAACCGTGGCTATAGTGAACCAAAAGCTCTGTCCCATTGGGGTTCACTATAGAGGGGTTTTACTGTATGTACCAAAAGAGGCATATCTCCCTTTAATTGTGCATATGAACGATAGCACTTTGCATCACCCTAGTAAAAACTTTACTAGTGGTTATAAAGAATGAGCAACAATACCAGTTTAGGAAAATTGAGACAAAAAGTCAACAACCTGTATACCATGGTTCCGGACTTTGGCCCTCATCAGTACAGGGGCGGCTTCGATTTCATAACATCCTACGAGAGGAGTTATGGAATTGGTCGAAATTACTAAACAGGTGTTTAATCTGGTGAAATGATAAGGGCTGATTTTCAGAGAAGAATATAGCATAAAGTTTCGAGAGGATGATATTCATATCCCAAAAAGGTGATGCACAGTGCATTGTCTTCCTTCTTCTTCTTTCTTATCTCCACTCAATCATATGGATGAGCCAATAATGTGTTTTGGGGTTGCAGGTTGAGAATTACACTTATTACACAGTGGGAAAACCTTGCAACCATTCTGGAAAGTCATTGTTAGTAGATGACCAGACTTAAGTCTGGAAATAAAAGACTGTTGTTCTCTTGGTAGAACAGAATTGGTGCTTTTCCCTCCTGCTCTGTACCAGTCATGTGTGCAGCATTATATTCCCATTCCTGCAGGCATGGCAGTACATCGTTCCGATGCATAATTAAAAGGAGAAATGCCTCTTTTAGTACATGAATATCATCCTCCCGCAACTTTATACATATGTTGTATAGATATATATTTTATCAATAAGATAATTGGCGATAACGGAATTTTTCTTTTATTAAAATATGCTTCAGTTGGTGAAGTAGCCGTTGGACTCATTCCCGGACAAAATAAAATTCCATTTTGTTGGAAGACGCTATTCCCATATTTGGGAAAAAAAAAGAAAGAAAACATTCTTAAAGCATTTTTAATTCTTTTATCACAGTAGAACCCCCCCTTTAGCGGACATCCAGCTAGCGGACACCTCTCCACAAAGGACAGTTTTCATTTGCAAAATTACCATTTTTACCATTTAGCAACTTTCCGGTAAGAGGACACCTCTTCCTAAAGGACACTTTGGCTCTGCAATTAGGTGTTGTCCTTTACAGGGAGGTTCTACTATATTATTAAATTGCATAATGTCAATAAAATATTTTAATTCTAATAAAAATTGTTCTCTTTATCTACAAGAAAGCAATTTAAACCAAAACTTGATCCTTTCATACTTTTGTATAGTTCCACTCTATGCCGACCTCGACTTCTGTATTACAGCTTATACCACGCACATCATGTATATAGGTTACACCATATTGTTGCATCATGATTAATGCGCCTATTTTTAAAATTATTTATAATATTATTTTTAATATATTTAAAATTTAAATTATAAATTTATTTATTTTTATAAAACAGATTATTAATATAAAATATTATGTACTATAAAACATTTGTATTTTGATACACTAAATATCCTACATGCTTTAAACTTTGATGTGGTAAATAAAGAGAGATTCTAGGTGCTACCTAAATTTATAGTTGTCTTATTATTGACTGGTTTAACCTTGTAAGATGGTTGAGACACGTTCTGGAAAGATGCAAGACACGTCTGAGGAGAGACTCAAGACTGAAGAATCTGCCAAACCGCAGCCCAGTGCAACAATTGGTAGAGATGCAAGTGCCGACCCAGTTGTTTTGAACCCCAACATAGACATCCCCAAATATGATGGAACAGAAGACCCTCGCCCATGGATTGAGTCCCTTGAAGAAATTGGCTTCCTGTACCACTGGGCAGAATATATTATTTCTCGCTATGCAGCCATGAACATGATTGGTAGCGCCAAAACCTGGCTGGACCTACACAAGATAAGTTTTACCAGCTGGGAACATTTCAAGAGCCGCCTAATTCAGGATTTTGGCTCAGACGCCAACAAAGAAGAATTGAAGATGAGGCTGAACAGAATGCAGCAGTGGAATGAACCTGCAATCAGGTTTGCAGAGGATATCCTGGTTCTGTGCAACAAGGTCGACCCCCAAATGGAAGAAGAGAATAAAATAAATTGGGTTATTGGAGGGTTAAAGAAAGAATACTCTTTTGCCCTCTACTTAAACCCTCCTAAGAATACCAACGAACTCCTAAGATTGTGTAAAAAGATGGATTTGTTTGAAAATAATTATCAAGAACGTATAGAAAAATCAAAGGTTCTATATAATGGACCACGCTCTCCTCGTTCCCACCATCAAGAGCAATGGAAGAACGCTCCGTCGTTCAGAAGACCAGACCAGAACACCTCCAAGCCCCAGGCCCCCGCTCTGAGGTACTACCAGAACACCCCCAAGCCCCAGGCCCCCGCTCCGAGGTACTACCAAAACAAGCCGCTGCCCCAGGTATCTGCCCCTAGACGATTTTACACTCCCATTCCTGAGCCAAAACCGGTCTACCCAAGAAAAACCTACAATAAGAGTCCAGATTCAAACAGGAATAGGACAGAAGACGGGAGACCAATATGTTTCAAGTGTAACAAGCCAGGACACGTAGCGCGGTATTGCAGAGTCAAGTTTGTGAGGATCGTAGAAGAGGACCCCTCAGTTTCCCAAGACAAGAGCCAAGAAAATCTTCAAATAGACGAAAGGAAAGATTATACACGGCCTCGCCTCTATGCGGATGTTTGTAATGACACACAAATGAATATTCCTACACGGAATAGATATTCAGTGTTGGAAGATTTAAACTAAGTGTCGCGCCTGATTCCTTCAATCAAAGCAAGTCGACCATAAATGGAATTAGAAAGTTGGACCCTAGGTACAAAATTAATATTAATGTGGACAAGATAGGGTTATGCGAAGCTTTGATTGATACAGGCGCCGATCTTTCAGTGGTCGACCTAAGAACAGCACTTTTTGCTGGCCGTGAAATAAATAGTCTCACTAAAATGTGTTCAGGACCCGATGGAAAAAAATTAGATATGGTAGGTAGCATTATTTTAGATTTAAAAATTGATGACACTGAATTAACCCACGAATTTGTAGTAATGGACGCGCATCTACGAACTCTTATTCTTGGACGAGATTTCCTTAAAAAAATGAATGCTAAAATTGATTGTAAACGAGAAACAATAAAATATAATTTGATGAGTAATCATGACGTAAGCAATTATGATCTAAAAAAAATAAAGAGCACTACAGATACCGTTATACCTAAACTATCTATTAAATTGATTAGGGCCTCAATAGAAGCAGAGGATGGCGAATATGTCATCGAAGAGAACAACAGAATGACTCAAACAAATGGTCTTCGATTGGCAAGAAGTTTGCTTACTGTCACGGATAAGAAAACCCATATCTGGATAACGAACCCTTATCCTCGACCTTTAAAAATCATGAAAGACCAAACATTGGCTTATGGAAGTCTTCCTGCACGGGTAAATTTTATAGAGAATAAAGAGAAGCAGAATGAAAATGACGAAATACAATTTCAAATAAACAAAAATTTAACATTTAAAGAACAAGAGAGGTTAAAACAAATTTTGGCCAAGTATACTGATTTGTTCTCATCGAGGTTAGGTAGGACCAGTTTGGCAAAACATCAGATTCATACAGAAGACGCAAAACCAATAAAGCACAAGCCTTACCGGGTAAGCGCTAAGGAACGAACCATCATAAAGGATCAAATAGACGAGATGCTCGAAGAAGGAATAATTAGACAATCTTCAAGTCCCTGGTCCTTTCCCGTTATATTGGTCAAAAAACGAGATGGCAAATACAGATTTTGTGTGGACTACAGGAAATTAAATGAAGTAACAGTGAAGGATGTTTATCCAATCCCAAGAATTGATGATGTAATGGATACTCTCCAAGGATCCAAGTACTTCTCAGCAATAGATCTCAAATCGGGATATTGGCAAGTCGAAATTGAAGAGAGAGACAAAGAGAAGACGGCTTTCACTACTGCACACGGGTTATATGAATTCAACGTAATGCCCTTCGGTCTATGCAACGCCCCTGCTACTTTTGAGAGGAATATGGACAATGTCCTCGGAAATCTGAGATGGCAGATTTGCCTTTGCTACCTGGACGATGTAATTATATACAGCTCGGACTTTCCAACCCACATTAAAAGACTTGAAGCTGTCCTCAGATGCTTCAGCGAATCTAATTTAAAACTGAACGCCAAGAAATGCAGATTTGCTTTCGAAGAACTTGAGATCCTTGGACATATAACCAACCAAGAGGGTATAAAACCTGCCGAATATAATATCAAAGCCGTTAGAGATTTTCCTCAGCCCAAGAAGGCCAAAGAAGTGCAATCATTCCTAGGAATGTGCTCATATTATAGAAAATTTATTAAAGATTTCTCATTAATCGCTGACCCATTGACCAGTCTCATCAGAAAAAATGTGCAATTTATCTGGACAGGAAAACAGGAAGAAGCGTTCCAAAACCTTAAAAAAGCTCTTATGAATCCGCCAATTTTAGGTCACTTTGATCCAAATGCAGCCACCTGCATTCACACAGATGCCTCTAACATCGGCTTAGGCGCAACACTAATTCAAAATATCGGTGGCGAAGAGAAGGTAATATCATATTTGAGCCGAACCCTAAGTAAACCTGAGCAAAATTATTCAACCACCGAAAAGGAATGTTTAGCTGTAGTGTGGTCGATATCAAAATTACGGCCCTATTTATATGGAAGGCACTTTAAAATCGTAACTGATCATCACGCACTATGCTGGCTTAAGAATTTGAAAG